GGCAGATTAATTTGATTATGAAAGAATGAAATGTTAAAAAGAAAATTTTAAAAATCACGCATGTTGTACTGTTGTATTTTTTTTCAATTAAAAACTTAAAAATAAAGATAGTTTTACGATTGTTAGCATTTTAACATCGCCAGATTTAAATACAAGTTAAAGAATTCCGGTAAGGTAAATTAAACAGATGTGCAATTATTATTAATTGGGAAATGAAACATTTAATTTTTAAGATTAAAAGTACTATTCTTTTAACTTCATATTTTAATTTATGCAAATTGCATAGAACGTAATCGAAAATTGTTCCACTGTAAAATTGTATACAATTCCGGAATTGACAACGATTGAATGTTTATTTTCAATTAATTTAAACAATTTAATTATTGTTTCTCTATTGTCATCGGATATTTTATCTTGGTGTATTAAACACGCTATACTCTTTCTGTAAATCCATTCAAAATGACAACATACACACCTGTGTACGCTTGAATTCACACCTGTGTACGCCTGAGGATAAATTGCTGCAAGGTAAAGTTCAAACGAATTCTCCTCAAATCGAGAAATAAACAATGACTTTACAAAATAATATACACACTCTGTTCACATATATTTTGCATTGAAATGGTTATCAAAGTTATAACGGTAAATAAAAACGTAAAATATTTCAGTTCAATATCAGTAAAAATGTTCAATAGATATTTTATGAAACAATCTCAACAACAATTTATGAAATTTAGATTTTTTTTCAAAAGAGAAGCACAATTACCACAAAGCGAATTACGAGAGGTGGTTTCGTATTTCGTTATAGAAAAAAAATACTAGTAGTTTATGTAAAGTAACGACTCTCGTACGGTGTCGCGTTAATATCTTTTTAATAAACTGGTGCAATTGGATGCAACAAATAATGACCATAAAATGCCAGGTTTGCAAGATCAGACAGTAACCTAACCAGTAAACAATTGAAAATCTAGGGATCAATATTCAACATTAGTCAGCAATGAGCAATTTTTATAAATAAAACATGATTTAGTCGAATACTTTGCGAGTAAAGAAAAAGAGACTACCATAGATTTGTTATTAACCCCAAATGCTTGATGGGTACAAATCAGTATTCAGGAGTTACCTTTTTTGCATTAAACCACATTACAACAGAAATTGGAAAATAGGGCGTGGAAGTATTTCTAAGACATTGTTGTTTTCCTGTTCTATGTAGCTTTCTTATTGGCAAACATGGTGATAGATTTTATAGATGCTGTCAGGCACCGACCATTGAAAACAATCGATCTGTTTAAAATAAGAAATGAAAATAACTGTTTGGTGTTGGGTTTTTTGGCAAATAAGAAAACTGACCGTTTGATTTAAAATTGTTTAAAATTATTTTGAAATAGATTTATGAAAATAATTTACATGTGAAAAGGCTAGACTTTGTGGCGTAGGGATGTGATTGAGTGGTTTTGTTTACAATTATTTCCCATTATTTCGGCAGTGAAAATCTGCAATAATTATTTGTTCATCATGTTGTGTGATTTGCACATTATAACAAAACTAAGAATATGACGGATGAATTTAGAGTTAGCTGTTTAACGTCCAGTGGCAACTATTATATGTATTATTAGGAGGACATTTAAAATGTTATAAATATGAACAAGGACATACTTTGTTATGCAAACATGTGTATCACGGCACAAGCGATGACCTATAGTCCGTGTGTATCATATGTATATGTAGGGTGGGGTTGCTCCGAATAAAGGAGGTATAGATACAGGAAAATAAAGAAAAAAAAATAAAATTAGAATAGAGTATAACGGGAAAAATAAAGAACAGAGGAAAATGGTATAAAAAAATTAAAGAATAGAGGGTCTAGTTTTTTTGCCGGACAATTGTTGATGATAGTTTAAAGTCAAGTGCATTTATAGTTAAAATAATACACAATCGTATGTACATTGGTAGGGATTTATGTTTAGGGTTGATGAGGCACATAACGAGTAATTGTTTTTATTTGAAATTTCTCGAATATTTGTTTTTTTTTCGACTGATTTGATAGATGAATAAAAAAAATCTATAATCTAAAAAAAATGGTTTAATTACGATATATGGATACAACTGCTATTCAGTCGATTTTAAAATACATGCGATAAAAGAGAATACATAAAAATATTTAACAAACCTTTTGGACAAAAGGTCAACCTTAAGACCCCGAATATACTTTTGTAAGAACATTAGATTAATTCCGAATTCCATCTTAAATCAATTGTTCATTTAGGTAAAAAAAATGTTAATACCTTAGACTATTTTCAAAAATTGTTGACTGAATACCCTGCAGACTGCGTTTACTCGCACATTCACCAAGTACGCATTTCTACGGCTAACTAAATTCATAACCGTATCTTTTAATTTGTTTATATTTTTATGTAAATAATTTTGGATCAACATCGAGTCAGATCAAATTATAATTTATTAGATTATTAATTAAAAACTGAAACATGCATCCAATCTAAATTTTACGCCTATTATCACCTATATAAAAAGGATATAACAGAACACCATTCATGTTTTATATTTAAAAAAATATAAAAATATACGCTAAACGAAACTATGCACGCCAAGAAACGATGTACGCTAAACGATACGATATACGCTAAACGAAACGATGTACGCTAATACGCTAAACGATACGGTATACGCTTAATGAAACGATGTACGCAAAACCATACGATGTACGATAAAAGGGCGCTTATGTTATCGTTTATGGTATGGTTTATGGTATATGGTTTCGTTCGTACATCATTCGTTCAGCGTCCGTACAACGTTCGGTCAGCGTTTCGTTTGCATTCGTACACCGTTCGGGAAGCGTACGTACATCGTTCGGGCATCGTCCGTACATGATTCGGGCATCGTTCGTATTGTTAACTTTTACGTTACACGGACTGTACACATCTGAACATCATTTCCACAGGGTGTCCACATAAACGTACCATTGAACCGTTGTACCTGGTTTTATGAAAGTTATAACGTTATCCAATTAGAAAAAAACATATATTACAGTATGGCAATATTGTTTGTATCTCAAACTTTAATGGAATAATATTACAGTAGTTGTTACTGTGTATGACTGTAAGTGTTGCTCTCCACCTATTGCAGTTTATTCAAAATTCTGACCAAATTGCAATTTGTTTTATCAAAACAAACTGTTCAACTGGTCAGAAATTCTAACAAACTGCTGTAGAAAACACAGTCAAGTCATGAAAGTACAAGGTGATAAAATAAAGCATACTTACAATCCTATTACACTTTAATTCAACTTCTTTGATGTTACGAAAAAATTGAAAACAACACGTTTTATAATTTCATGCGTCCGAAGCGCTTTTCTGGATTTAACTTCATCAGGAACGCTCAAAGCCCAACATTTGAAATCCGAGGGATGTATAAGTACCGAAACAGTTGAAGAGCTATATGACAAAAATACCTAAAACCAATAGCCAAATCCATCTAAGGTCAACTTTGCCTGAGGGAGTTGAAAATGTTTATAAGAATTTGTATACATTCTTTTATCGTTATTGTCAATCAACATCAAATGTATGTTGATCAAATTAGTTTGCTATATTATGATGTTATCAACATACAATAGCATAATACTATATTCTTAACTAAAAGAGAGGCGAAAGATACCAAAGGAACATTCAAACTAAGAAGTCAAAAGAGTGAGCAACACGAACCCCACAAAAAATTCGGTGTGTTCTCAGGTGCTCCGGCAGGTAAGGAGATCCTGTTCCTGTCTTACCACTTTAAATTATCTAAATATTTAAACATTGCTGTTACTACTTTGTTATATAGCCTTTAGATTATATCTCTGCACAATTCAGATACGATATGTTTCTGTTTGAGACAACTATGATTAGCATTTTACTTTCAAACTTTTTATTTTATTATCAAATCTCATTCGTCAAAAAGTTAAAGTCTGCTAATAATCTATAGACGTTTGTCAGGCTACATTTTCCTTTTTTCAAGTCAAAAAATTTTCATTCTGTAAAATGTCGTTAATTATGGCCGGCTTTTCTCTTCTGGTTAAAATTACACAATCGGACTATGGCAAGCAATTTCATAGCATGATTCAGTTTTGACAGATAAATCTGTCATAACACACGTTTATCATGTTAAACATCAACCGGTCGATGAATATTTTCACTGAATAAAAATAACAAAATTTGTAAATATTGTTAACATGATACGTTAGAGCTTTACATAATATTACACAAAGTATATTCAAAGTGTAAAATGATATCAAAGAAACCTGTTTCTAGTATCTGGTCGAAAAAAAAGATACAATATAACATTGTTTCCAGTTACAGATAAACCAGAACTCAGGATTTATACTTTCATAACTCTGGGAGTTTTAATCTACAACATAGTAGACTTTGGAGGACTCATGAAGTCAAGAAGGTCTGCTTCATATATTGATGCATTTTCTGACGACTCAAACATTACAGTTTATTCACTGTAGGAAGAAACTACCCCAAAAGGATTATGTTGCAAAATGATTAAAATTGCTTTGATGATCTGTTTGATCATCTGATTGCCTCAGTGTCTGGGATTGAATAAAGCATGTTTATTCCTTACAAGATTCCACATTGTATATGTACAACTGGACATTTTGAATTGCATAGCAATTTACAGTAGATGCTTACCCTGTTTCACACCATGGTCGAAATCTGTTTGAATTCATATCATCGACCTTATCGCCTTAATCATGTTAATCTTTCCAAACAGATTTTATAACATGGTTTGTATTCATGCGATTCCCTCCCTTTGTTTCTGTTACTTTGATTTCTTCTATATCACTTTGTGAGATTTGAACATCGGTTAATGACTGTTGCATTAACAAAATCATACTGTCAGTCCAGGGTCATAAGGAGAGCACAAATAATTAGAGTAAACTTTTTTCTGTTGTCTTTTATTCACAAGATAATGTCGATCCTTTTAAACAATTATGTGTATTTCAGATTTTATTTGGAGACGACGGGTATCTTTATATATTTCTTGGTGATGGAGGTACTCCAGGTTCTGAAGGAGATCCACGAGGAAATGCTCAAAATACGTACGTGAGATTGTACAATAGTTTTTGCAATGGAAAACTTCAATGCTGTTTGTTTACTAGTTTTAAATTTCATGTTAATCGTTTTGTTAATTTTTTTGTATAATACCGTAAAAAATAATCATGTATGTCGGATGACAAATGTGACCTCCTTTTTGTCGAGCCTGTGAAATTTATTTCGCGAAAGCGAGCCAAAGCGATCCTAGATTCTGTCGTCGGCGTCGGCGTCGGCGTCGGCGTCGGCGTCGGTGGCGTCCACATTTAGGTTCAGTCTGTGGTGACAGTTTTTAGTCATCAATAACTTTGTCAAACCTACATAGAATTTAATGAAATTTGGGCAAAAGCTTGTTTCTGACCAAAATACAGTTACCAGAGCAAAATTTGGAAATATTTATTTACATTTTTTCGTATTTTATTAATAAATGGACTTAATTTGTTTTACAGTTAACACTCAGATTTTGTCTGAGTTAAACTTTTTCAGTCATCAATAACTTTGTCAAACCTTCAAAGAATCTTATGAAACTTTGACAGAAGCTTGTTTATGAGCAAAAGACAGTATCCAGAGCAAAATTTTGAAAATATTTATTTTTATTTTTCCGTATTTGACTGATAATTTGACTTAGTTGTTTTTATAGTTAACAAGTAAATACAGTCTTGGGTTAAAGTTTGTTACACTTCAATTACTTTGTCAAATCTTCATAGAGTTTTATGAATGTTTTGCAGAAGTTTTTTAATGATCAAGAGATAATGTCTGAAGCAAACCTTTGAAAATATATTTTTTTCATTTTTAGTATTTTTCTGATAGATGGATCACGTTTTAGTTAACATTTACAGACAGTCTGGGATTAAATTTTTTTTTGACATGATAAATTTGTAAGCCCCCATGGATTGTTATGAATCTAGTACAGAAGCTTATCTTCAAGACCGAGAAATAGCATCTTAAGAAAAAGTTTGAATTTTCTTTTTTGAATTCTGTATTTTACTGATAAATGGATACACTTTTTAAGTCAACATTACACTTTAACACTGAGAGCAGCAATCGCAGGCGAGACGCAGGGTTCTGCATAACCCCTTACAAACTTTAATATGTAAACATGGTAATTTGTCTTTCGACTTGGTAATTAAAAAGATACAAATTTTATAAATTGCATATACATAGATTTATAAAAAATAAACAGTTCATAAAATGCATATCACTATCCTACTCTTTACTCGTGCCATTGCTGTAATACGTGAAAAGTTAAGAATGTTTTCATTAAGTTGCCGTTCAATTTGTATTATTTCGTCTCCCATCATCAATTCTTTCTGAAGTAATCAATAGATTCCATGAATTAGTATAGAGTGTTCTGTATTTATTAATTTTACGTGTGCCATATGAAAGCATGGAACTTGCATTTTATGAGAACATAGATCAAATATATTTGTTCTAGAGAATCATAAATAGTAATACAAGTTTGCACAAAAGGGACTGTTTAATCTTGATCTTATTTGTATAATTCATCGATTCACGTCATATTTTTAGTTAGATATAATTTATATAGCTTGGGTTCCATTATCCAGTGTTTTTTTGATGCAAGTATTTTGAAATCCATATAAGACATAGTAAAAAGTCATAATTAGTGAGAAAGTTTTCTGTTCCTTTCAATTGTGAAGAGTCATTCCTATAATCTTAGATATATTTATCTAGAATATATTACAGGATGTCCTTACTAGGAAAGGTTCTAAGAATAGACATCAATAAAATTGGCAAAAGAAAGGGTTATGTCATACCACCAGATAACCCTTTTATAAAGCAGCAACGGACTTTCAGACCAGAAATATATGCTTACGGTGTCAGAAATATATGGAGATGTGGAAAAGATTCAGGTGAAGATTATGTTAATTTTAATTGTAGAATGTAGAGGTGTACCAGTGATACGAACTATTAGCGGTGTATATACATAATTACTACAATGCAATGAAACTCATTGATCTTTGGATTAAGAAAAGAACAGTTCGATTGTTTCCCTCTTATGATCATCAATTGCGAAAATAATGACATTTGATTTTCAGAAGTCCTATTTAAAGTGTTTGTCGTTTTCCCTAATGTTACAATTACCTATGGAACCAAAATAATCTAAATATTTGAGTGATAGCTCCCTTGCCTCCTTGCATACAATATATTGCAAATAATTCATGTTCATTTTTTTTTAATAAAACACTTATTCAAAATTAACCAATTTAAAAGACAAAATGTTTTTACATGTACGTTCACACTTAAATGGACATTAGCTATGAGATATAAAAAAAATAGAATATGTTTTTTTTGTTTTTTTGTTCAATCATTAATGAAAGTGAAATAGTGAAATAATAATTAGCTTTCAGGAGTCAGTTTGGGTCAATTTTGTCAAAATAAGCTAAGAACATCGCTGATGAATTAATCACTTGCAAGTGAGTAATTCGACCTAATTGAATACGTATTCATGTGACCCTCTATTTAACCTATTAGCTAGAGATGGGTTACGCATGAACTAGGCATGTTCAGCTATTAAAATGAAAAGAATGTCAACATTGAAAGTGGAACAAGCATAAACCATTTGCTTAACTGATTCGATCCACCTAAACTCATTATTATCCAGGTAAAAACGATGATTAACACATTTGTTTAACATGTAATATGAAATCAAAACAGACTAGAAAAATCAAATTGCACATGTTCGCTATCTATTTATATAAAATGAGAATGGAAATGGGGAATGTGTCAAAGAGACAACGACCCGGCCATAGAGCAGACAACAGCCGAAGGCCACCAATGGGTCTTCAATGCAGCGAGAAACTCCCGCACCCGGAGGCGTCCTTCAGCTGGCCCCTAAACAAATATGTATACTAGTTCAGTGATAATGGACGTCATACTAAACTCCAAATTATACACAGGAAACTAAAATTAAAAAATGATACAAGACTAACAAAGGCCAGAGGCTCATGATATCTATGTTTATGTTTATATCGGGTTATATGACCGTCGGCTCTCTACGGAGGTCACTTCGATGGGTAATTAGATGGCGTCTAGACACATACCAAATGAGGATACATATTATCGAGTCTATGCATTGTTAACTATTCATTTTAGAAATTTTGTAAGTTGGATATACGTTTTAGTAGGTTATAAATCAAAAATGAAATTTTGATAAAATCAGTGAACATGAATTTAACAGCTAATGCCCCTTTAAGAGAATTCAATTGATTGTCGGAATGAGCTTTCTTTTTTTTAATAAAGAAACTCCAATTTTAACTTCAAGTTTTGAGCAAACTTTGATCATTTAAATTTGATTGAATGCACAAAACAAATTTAGTGGTGTACACATGAAGTTGTAAAAAATGATAAATTATTAAAATTCAAAGATTTTATTCTCGAAAACCACTGACTGAAAAAATGAATGACAGATTGGTCCAACCTCTTTTTCAATTATACATAAATAGCAAACTTTATAAAGACGGAAGGGAGAAAAGTGACGCCTTTCGAATAAAACTTGATATTTTATTATCGTAAAAGAGAGGAGAAAGATACCAAAGGGACATTCAAACTCATAAGTCGAGAATAAACTAACAATGGCATGGTAAAAAAATAAGACAAAAAAAAACAAACAATAGTATACAAAACACAACACAGATAACTAAATACTGAGCAACACGAATTAAACTTTAAAAACCGTAACCTGCTGAAACATGTTAATCTGTTTATTATTATAAATAGTAGCCACTAACGTTATAACAGAGTATGCTCCTTTTTGGAATCAATGCGAATTACTCATATTGTGTTTTTCTTTATTTGTGTCGTCCTAATTGATTTACGGGGTTTAAACATTGCCAATGTTCTGTCCCCTTAATTTTACTCATATGAAATTGCTAAATTTAAATCTATCTATTCTTAAGTAAGACATAACGGAAGAGTACTGTGTGGTGATGTTGGACACGATAAATTCGAAGAGATTGATGTACTAAAAAAAGGAGCTAACTATGGATGGAAAGGTCGTGAAGGATTTGAATGTTATGATAATAAGACGTGTGGAAAAACTGGTTAGTTGTTTAACCATGTATTTGAAATCTCTATTTCCAATATGTCATTCAATTTTAATCATTGTATATATGATGAGTTTATTTTGTCTGTTTATCATCATCCAAGTAGCTCAGTAATTAAAAATTTGCTTGAAAAAAGAATCATTTTTGATGCATAGTTTTTAATTTAGTACGCCAGACGCGCAGTTTGTTTTTCAGAGATTCACCAGTAGCATTCAAATAAAAACAGTAATAGTTGAAAGACCAAAATCATCAACGTGGTTGAAGAGTATCACATACCTAAATTTCGAAGTATCTATGTATGTGAGAAGAAAAACCCTTTGTGTTTCGAATAATTCAACATTTAATAAACAGTATATTTACAAAAAATAAACGTATCAGCGATATTTCATGCCAACAAAAAGTGCTGACTACTTTGCTGGTGATACCATCGGGGACGACACATACACTAGCATTGGCATCTGAAAAAAGGGTGTTGTTTTATTCAAATGTTCTGTTTTAAAAATGTCTTCCTCATTCATATCTGGGATCCACTATACTTTTGATACTTTTCTGGTACATCAGCTCGTCAATGTTCGATAATACCACCAGAAACCGACAACCTAACTGTAGTATCATAGAGCATGTGAAGCAGTATGAGTATGAAAAGCTAACAAACAACAACAAAAAATGCCATAAAGTAATCAGACTCCCTTTCCTCTTACTTTAGTTCTTTGTGCCCTTCTATTCAAAATTTTATAAAAACTTATAACCTTTGCAATATTTCAGCAAAATTGTCTTCACAACACTTCATAGAGCTGAAATCGTATTGCTAGATGTTGTATTGCTTGAAAAAATCTTTTAAAGTATATTATCTATACTATGTAAAGGTCAAATTTCATTACGTTTCGAAAATTCATTATTCTGTTGTTGTAACAAATACATAGAAACTGGGTCATACCTGTCATTTTCTTTCAATTTTGTGTGCATGGCATATTATCATTTATTATTGATTTGTAGTTGTTTCGTTTAATTTATAACCATTGAATATGGTAAAACCGAATATGTTATTGATTTAGGACCGGAAGTGAAACCAGTGTTTGTTTATTCACACGACATAGGAAATGCAGTAATCGGCGGACAGTTTTATAGCGGATGTTTAAACCCAAGACTACGTCATTTTTATATATTCGGTGACTTCAGTGGGTGAGTCCTGTAAAAACACTCAACTGGTTTTTGTCTCGCCTTGGCGGAGTCAAAAAACGAGACATAGGTATGCTGATTCCGGCGGCGGCGGCGGCGGCGTCGTCATAAATGTATTAGTTTGTGATTGGGTCTAGTTTGTGGTGAACCACTAGTGGTAGGTCAATGATATTTGGTATGCAGTTGTATTAGCATTGGCATATCTCATTGAGAGATCATGGAGATTATTAAGCACTGCTCCCTCAGTCATGGTCTGTTGACTTCTAAACTTTGCTTAGTTTACATGTATTAGTTTGTGATAAAGTCAGTTTATGGGGATCCGTTAGTGGTAGGCCAATGTTAATTGGTATGCAATTGTATAATCATTAGCACATCTCATTGCCATGAAGAATATTTGGCCCCGCCCCCTCAGTCATGGTTTATTGACTTTGAAACTTTTGCTTAGTTTTCGTTTATTATTTTGTGATTATGTCAGTTTAAGGGGGACCGTTAGTGGTAGGCAAATTCTCTGTATAAAGTCAATAACTATGTAGACTTTTGAAGCCCGAACTTTCTATTACCTTAAATACGCAAATGAAAGATCCGAAAACTATAGCAATACAGAACGACATGTTTTTGAAATTATGGCAAAATTTTTTATTGACAAATTCTTATTCGTCATTGTTTGAGATTTTAACTCTTCCACTGCTTAAGGGGTAAAATATTAATAAATATCCCCATCTTTATCTTAGAATATGAAAAGTTTATGATTAGTTGGTCTTAAATTAAGTTTTCACTACTTGAAACATTTTCATTTACCTTCTTTATAAACTGAACCAAATCACTACTTTATTTATTTCAATTTTACAATCATGTTTTTGTCATGTCTGTGTATTAATCAAAACATTGACTGCGATATGTCACTGATTGCTTACAATGATTATCACGCTGTTGGGCACTATTGGATAAGGAACATTTTATCCTTCCGGGGGACATCATTTCACCCACGGTAATTGTTGAAGAACATGTTGCTTTATCTAAGGTTAACTGTTTAGTTTGTTGTAGACCATTACTTACTTTTTGATTCGAAATGACGTAAATATATATGCAACTATATGTCACATTAATAAAATGTGAATGTGAAATAGTTTCAATAAAAGGAACAAACCAAGGGCCTGATTTATGAAGAAAACAATTAACGAAAAATTAATATGACAGACAGCAACCAACAACGACCGACCACTGAATGAGCACGTAACACCAACACCCTATCTTACCTGCGACACTGCATTAGCAGCCCAACATTTGACAAATTAAAAGAAATGGAATTATAATGAACTAATGAATAAATTATATTACTCAAAATACCGATCTAAGAGTATCTTTTTATTCCACTAATGATTGTTTGCTGACTCATAATGTCCTATGTCCAATCAGAAAGATGCAATAAATATTTGAGATTGGTTTTGTAGAATATTGTTCCTTCTTCATGAGAACCCCAGGATAAAGAAATGGATTGGGCGTGAATTACGACTTTGTGATTCAAACATGTGTACTCCACCTCTTAATAATACATATGAAAGAAGGATAACATCTTTTGGGATTGACGAATCAGGTAAATATCAGATAATTTCAACTCTTTTCTCATAATGCCTAAAGAGGGTATTTGATCAGAGCCATAAATTTGCACATGAAATTTGAAAGATATAGTAGAATTCTTGAATCGTCTTGAATAGGAATTCCAATTGTAGAGGGAGATGTCAATGAAAAAATCAAAGATATTGACAGAATTAGTGCAAGTAACAACAACCAAAACAAACAACCAGTATTCAAGCTTGAAATTAATATGAAAAAAAAATAATCTTATTGATATTTGGCGAGTTATGAATGTAAACGTACAACAGTTTACTTGGAGAAGAAAAGATAAATCTCTGTCGCGTAGAATAGATTTAATATTGATTGGAAGCACTTTTATACCTCAGATAGATATATGAAAAATTAAACTGGTAACGATTCAGTATACTGATCATCTAAGTTTTTATTTAGAACTTGAAATGAAGGATGCAGCATATACGGTTAAGTCTCATCATGAGATGACTTACATCTAAATATTGACAATAAGGGTTGAGAACAAAAATTGATGACAAAAGGAAATGCAGATTTCCAATTGTGAACTTTCCCCTTCAATGTAGCAAAATTCAAACGCAGTACTTGCATAAGGATAATATGTCTCCCAGTTGATACGATATTTAACAGTTTGAATTTACTATCATGATTTACTTGCAGAAGGAGTGCTGCTTATAAGGAAGCTATTAAACGAAGTGTTTTAAGTGGTAAAATTTAATTCATCCATACAAAAGTTTTACAGGCGCAATCACGACTTGGTTTAGCGTAATGGAATATATGTGTCACAAATGACCACGTATTTGTATCAAATGTCGTAACCACAATCTCGTCCTACTTTCTTCGACTATGATATCAGCAAAAGAGGCTCATTAGCGGATTTGTTCTCACCATGAGCAAAGCGATTGGATCTGATAACCCATCTGGAGGACGAGAGATCATTCCAGCGTTAAGTAGGGTTTCGTTGCCCATTCTTAAATTTTCTATGTAGTGTTTATTTTCTCTTTGTTTGTCTTTTCGTTGTGTTTCTTTTTCGCCATGGCGTTGCCCGTTTCTCTCGATCTGTGTGCTTTGATTTTCCCCTCAGTATGTTCCGCCTCTTTTCTGTGATATCAATTTTAAGTCATCATCGTCTCGAATTAGTATATTTGACCAAAAGAAACCATTTTACCTACAGACTTAACTTTAACGGTAGTACAATCTGTCGATCTTTTATTTGAGAAATGTACAATGTTATGTCTTTCTCTGACTCTTAATTATGTCCTTACACTAGATCCATTGGATGTTGGATGTGTACTGATTGATATTTTAGTCTTAGATACATGCTTAATGTATTACTCGTTATTGGCTTTGTACAAGCTTTCAGTAACTGCAAGAACTCTCAGATCTGTACTTAGTGTCCTTTTTGTTGTTAGGGATGAGGGATGGATTAATACCCTGCCACGTCCGGTCTGTGTTTATGTTGGTTTTTTTCTGCTTTGTATCAATCTGATGAGTTTAGCCTTGTCAACTGATTTTTATAGTTTGTTCTTATGTTGTGCTGTTACACCATTGTCGAATGTTAGGGGGAGGAGTGAGCGCTCACAAACATGTTTAAACCCGCCACATTCTTTATGTGTCTGCCAGTTGTTGTCGTTTGTTCATGTCTGTCATATTTGTTTTTCGTTAATTGTTTTGTAATAAATTAGGCCGTTAGTTTTCTCAATTGAATTGTTTCATATTTTTCATTCCTGGGCCTCTATAGCCGACTATATGGTATAGGTTTTTCTCAATATTTAAGGTCGTACGGTTGCCTCTAATTGCTTGCATCTACTTTATTTGAACTTTGGTGGATAGTTGTCTCATTGGCAATCATGCCTCATCTCCTTATTTTGTTTTAACTCAGATAAAATATTTTTTTGCAGAATTCGTAGTATTGCCTCAAATAGTCTAAGTTTTTTTTTTGACTTATAGCGACACAAATAGTTGCATTATCATAACTTCAATCCACCATTTTCTATATTTGAAAATGCCTGTACCAAGTCGGGAATATGACAGTTGTTGTCATTCGTTTGATGTGTTTTATCATTTGATTTTGCCATTTGATTGGAGACTTTCCGTTTTGAATTTTCCTCGGAGTTCAGTATTTTTGTGATTTTACTTTTTAGATACTTTCAATAAATGTTTGCTTTGCTCTTAACATTTCACAAGTTTCTATCTGCTTCTTTAATATCGTAATCAGGAATAATAATCCAGTGAATTATTAGTTAGATAACCTAATATCCAATTTGGCAACAATTAAAGAATAGCTACTCCAACATTATTGACAGAAATAAATGTGATGTATGTAGAGCAATTTATGCATTATAAAGGATTTTAGTATTTCTAGCTACATGAAACAAATTACTAATTTCTCTTTTTTATAACATTATGTTAAAAATGTTAAAAACTCAAATTTGTTTTAGGAGAAGTATACATGGTGTCAAAAGATGACGAGAATCGTGGAAAACTCTATCGAATTGTTGATCCTGTGAGGTAAGAATTTTATGTTTGAATAAAGGGAGATTTGGATGCATGTCCTATGTGTTACAAGTAGGATTTAAGTGAGCATAAGAATTGCTTTTCGAAAGGTATAAGCATTCCCAATGTATATTGCCTCTTAAATGATGTCAAGCTAAGACGTCAGCCTGATAAGGCAAAACGCATGACATTCTAATATTTAAAAACATTGTCACATGGTTTGGATGCCGATATATTTGCCTTACAAACTTTTAGGAGCTTAAACACGCAACAGTCATCCAAAACGAACTCCTCTTTAAAGGTTTCGAGAGTCAACAATATACTACTTCAGTAGTAAGTGAATGTCTGAAAAAAGAAATATATCATTCAAATCTAAGGAACCGTTATTTTTAGTCATCCAGATACATATAATTTTAACATGATGTTGAACAATAAAGAATGTCTTCTGATTTAGTACTTTCACTTCAACTTGCGGTGAATGTGAGAAGGGTAAATATTCATTATTTGTTTTTAAATACCATCACAGTCGATACAGTTTCATATAATTACTCGCCAAAATGTAATAACAGCATTATATTAAAGAATGAAAGTATATTGTTAAAATATACCATTTCACTTTTTTGGTCTTTTGGAAAATGTTGTTTGTGCTGTATTTAGACCCCTCTACCAGGAAATTCGTTTTGCTTGTCAAATGCGTTTTGTTAAAATATACTTTTTCACTTTTTTGGTCTTTTGGAAAATGTTGTTTGTGGTTTCATAACCAAGAAATTTGTTATGTATGCACACGTATGAAAATTGCGGTTTTTATCCAACGCAATCATAGGTTTGAACGTTGTTTTCAATTTAGACTTGTTTATATTTATGTAAATACACTAATATCTATGTTATATGAGTTTAAATCGCAATAACTATAAAAGTAAGCAGCCTACCAAAACCAATAACAACAGTAAATAGATATAAGAAGATGTGGTATGAGTGCCGATGAGACAACTCTCCATACAAGTCAAAATTTATAAAAGTAAACAATTATAGGTCAAAGTACGGTCTTCAACATGGAGCCTTAGCTCACACCGAACAGCAAGCTATAAAGGGCCCCAAAAATTACTAGTGTAAAACCATTCAAACGGGAAAAACAACGGTCTAATCTATATAAAAAAAAAAAAAAATAAATAAATACCTTGTTATACTCTACTTCTTATCTGTGTAACGACTGAGATTGTTCAGGGTCATAATCTGACGTTTTTCTTTTTTTCTGTATTCATGGGAGGCTGTGTTAAATTCTTTGAATTGTATTCCTGAAGGGACTGATTCATTTCATTACACTTGAAATATTGAAAATATGTTCGTCCATAAAGTATTGATGCTACCTACTGTTTTCAACATATCCAAGTATGATACCATGAATTATTGTAATTCTTCAAATATATCTAAATTTTCACGGGAATATGTTACACCTGTCACATTAGTTCATGTCCGCAACTCATAAAAAGATCAATATTTGTTCAAATAAATATTTGCTGTTTTCCTGTATTTCATGGGGTTCTTGCATTCACATTCAAATTTTTTAGTGTTATCAGGTCTTTCCATTTTTCTGTGGAAAGACCTATTGTATTTGTTCTGATTATTAGATCTTTCAATTTTTCTGTGGAAAGACCTATTGTATTTGTTCTGATTAGAATGATTAGGTCTTTCCACTTTTCTGTGGAAAGACCTATTGATTTTGTTCTGATTATTATTTTTTTTCTTCTTCCGCCAAACCCTTTTCTTGCGGTTGTTTCGCAAGATGTCGCTTAGATATTTTGGATATTATATCGAACAGTTGTTATGCTTTTTTAACTTATCTTGTTTAGCCGAAGACTTTTTTATTGTAATAGTTATCTCCCCAAACACTGTTTTTCTTGTTAGTGTATCTCCTCCGTAACCAACAAATACAACGACAAAATTCTTTTTCATATTTGTTCGTTACATCCTCACGAATTTTTGGCTGATTTGGATGGAAGCGATCCAGTGAAATTTTATAGGAGTTATCTACCTTTATCAAATAAATTTGTCGTTTTGTTTTTGTAACTCATAAACCGTAAGCCATATAAACCTATAGTCTTTTTATTTGAGGTCCTTGGGTCCTAACTTAGAAAATGAAGTCAAGGTCAAAGGTCAAGGTTGTGTTCTGGATTTTTTCTGTTGCGTGTTTTTGCATTTTCTCTGATACTTTTAAAGTTATATATATAAAAAACAAGTGCAAAATGTTTGCATCATTGTGATGAAGATATGATACATTTGGTCTGAAACAATCCAATGACATCTTATAGGAGTTATTGCCCCTGAAATGTTTTATTTTAAGTTTAATTGATTATTACTTCAGATTGGTACATGATAAAGCCATTAGGTCTTTTGTAAAATGTTGAGTAACATATGACCTTGAAAAAAGTCAACCGGAAGTGACCTTAAGTAAACCGAAAGTAGTATTTTTTGCACTTATTGTAAGGGAAAAAAACCTTGAAACCATATACTTTTTAATAGGCATACATAAACCTATCATTTGAGACCGGATATGATATTCTATAAACCTGAAGTAGCAAATTATTTCTTTATAACAGGCATAAGTATATACAAACTATATTTTTGTTATCAGTGTGACCAAAGCTATCATTTGAGACCGGAAATTACATTTTCTAAACTGGAAGAAGCCACTAAAGTTCCTTTTTACATGCCAAGTATAAATGAGCAATATATTTTTGGAATCAGTGTAAAAACAGTTATCATTAGAAACCTGAAGTGACATTTTCTTAACTGGAAATTGGCTATTATCTCCTTTATTCCAGGCAAAGGCATATAGAAACCATATATTTATTGAATCATTAAGAAGAAACCTATGAGTGGACGCGAAAAGTAACTTTATGTTAAACGGAAGTAGCTTCTTATCAATAACTTAGAAAAATGATGGAAAGACCTTCAATTGTTGTCTGAACAATTGGTTTTTAATTTTCCTTATTTTTATTTTTTCTACGTTCCAATTCAAATTTGTATATACTGGTCTCTTATATAGATAACAATTCAATGCAAGGGGGACCAGTCTACTATTTGTAGAGGTCAGATGAAAATAATATAACATGACTGTTAAATAATTTACCTGAAATATTATTATTATTCTAGCTAATATTTTTACAGAACAGATGATCAGATAGTTATGCTTATCCTTACAATTTCAACTAACCATTATTGTTTTTCATTTTTTTTCTCTCAGAAATGGCAATCCCAGACGATGCAAAGCAGCAAAAGCACTGTACAGAAAGCGGAAATAATGCGATCAGGTAAATACTTTCACTTAGATTCCAACAAGAGCAGTACACTGAAATTACAATTCAAAATTAGTAATAAAAGTAGCTATAGATAAACCAAATGTGTTCACCTGTAATGAGAAATATTCATCGAATAGCTTCCAAGGAAATCCGGATTTTTCCATTACGGAACATAAATGTCTGTATAGTTCATAAACTTTTTTCAATATAATTGTTAGGTTCTTAAATATCTCCTGAGTTTCATTTTACTTAATACTATGTATGTAGTAAAATTGAAATGTGAGGAAGAAATTGTCTCTTCTAGAATGATGGCCTATTTCAATTACTTTGGAAGCTAGGTAAAATTCAACAGTCCTCATTTATATGCTTTGCTCCGTTTACGGACAGTTATATTTTTGTTTTCATTCATGGCATTGTGACAGTGACGAAAGTTATGTTTACTTGTCATTATAAAATTGGAATTTACATTGGCAATCCATACATATTTATCATTAAAAAACATAGCAGGTACTACTTTAGAAGATTTAAAAACGTTAATTTTAGGAAAAGATACCAAAGTCAACAGTTCTTCTGTTAAGTTAGAAACGATTGAAAACAGATTTTCAAAACTAGTACAGGAGGTAAACAGGATGTGACAGAACTAAATTTAGGGGTTCATAAAAAAAGGTACAATAATTTCAAACTCAATTTTGCATTACATCTTTATTCGGGCGTTACTCGTGAGTCTTTTGTAGACGAAACGCACGTACGGTATACAATCTGGTATCTTTGCATAGTTTTTTGATTGTATGCTTAGGAACGTTTAAGCACGCTACACTCTCTGTATGGGCCTGATCTCAGTCATGCTCCTGTAATTCAGTGGTTGTCGTTTGTTGCTGTATGTCATAAGGAGGCCTATAGTTGCTTAATTCTTTGTAATTTGATCTCTGGTGAAAAGTTATCTCATTGGCAATCATACCACATTTAATATTTCTAAATAGAATATTAGTATATAAAGCTATACTATAGAAATAGTAAAACAAATAAAAGAATGAATGACTCACTAGATCGGATGAATTGCATAGGTGTTCAATTTTTTAAATAAATGATCAAAGTTTCTTTTTTTTAACATAAATTAATCAAATTCATTGCACCTTTGCTATTAACAATTTTACTTAGTTTACAGCTTCAGTTAAGTATCCCTGTAAATTAGTTATTGAATATCTAGGGAAAGTATTCAATAAAGTATATCTATAAAGTTAGGTATATTAATACATTAGAACAGTTTTACATAATAAAATGTTTACCGGAATACGGTGCGTTTCTTCACCTACATTGTATATGATTATATTAAAGCTTCAATGAACCGTGAAAATGATGATAATCTTTGGAGCATGACTGGTCATCAGTTGATTTCTGCCGACAATTGCTAATTTTGAACTTTTTTTGTTTTGTTTACACGACTTAATTGAAAAAGAAGTCTTAGTTGATGAGGTACGAATTCTTTTGTTTTCACACATTAAGCGTACTACTTTATTTTTCTAATTAGTAAACTGTAATTTCTATGATCAAGGATCGAAAATACACGTGGTCTTCAAATTATACATGTATGCAGTAACTTTGCATCATGTTGTGTAATCTGCTTGATCTCCTGCTTATAATAATTTTGGATCGTGAACCAGGATAAACATATTTAATACAATATTGATTCAGTGTAGCTGATAAATTGTAAAAGAGACCACAACAAAATTGCGTATTTCAGTCAAAGCACACGCAACGGACTGGACACATGTGCAGTCGTGTATAAACGAAGCTGCAGCTAGTATATGTATCTAATAACTATCCCTTCATTATACTAAAGGAATTCAAATATTCCGATGTTTTAAGTATTATTCTCTTGTTTTTTTTTTCTTCTGATTTTATTTATATTGATAATGTCCCAGATTTCATTTACGAAGATTTTAAAGATATCAATGACCTTCTCTTTCTTGTCAGACATAATATGCTTTGTAGATGGAAAAGAAATAGATAATTCATATCAATATAAGCTTCATCCTCAATTGTATAGCCTGTTACTAAACTTTCAAGACTTAAGAATGCTAATAGTTGGTAAATTTTATGCCAATAATTAACATTATATGATTATGAAAAAAAGGAAGTGTTTATAATCATCTTGTTGCTTTCAATGGATCACAGTTCAAAACTTTATAAACAGATTTCATAGGCAAAAAATCTTTTGAATCATATAAAAAGAAAGAGCATAAATTACAAACTGCACAAACAATTGAAATAAAAAAAAAAGAATAACATATACAAACCACAGAGACTTCTGCAAAACTCTAACAAAAGACATTAAAATTACAAATTTTAAGACTAGAGCAAATGCGCGATGTACGAACAAAAATTACATAACATTCTTTCATAATTCTTTAACAAAGTTCTATATTTAAAGAAAAACATTATCTATGGAATAAACCGATATGATCGTCCTTGAAACTATTTCAAAAGAAAAATTGATAATAGAAAACATTATATAAATTTAGACAAGACCTAGGTTGTTTAGATAAGAAAGGAAAACGCTTAGCCAACATGCTATGTGTGAACAGTCAAAAAATGAATGTTGTTGCAGCAGATTTACACTTCTTGGGACAATTTCTCCATGGATTTTTATGAAATCAAAAATATACAATGCAAACTTGGATGAACAAAATACTAACCCTTTTGGGGGAAAAATCAGTAATAACACACTTATATATCCTTTGCTTTCAATATTTGGCTTAGAGCGTTCCTGATTCTGGTCAATCCAGAAAGGCGCTTCGAATGCATAGCATCTATACAGTACTATTTTTATTCTTAAATTTAAATCATTTCTTCCTATCAATACCTAGTCCAAATGGTACAAAGCTTAACACTTTGCGGACAAAATAATGTTCCCTTTTTCTAAAGACAACAAGCCAGATAAATTTAAAAGAGACCTTTATCGCAACCACACTAAACAGGAGATCTGACAATGTCGGATATTAAAAACTACATCAAATGTTTAAATTAACAAAACAGAAAAAGTATAAATTACAATTTCTTATAAAAAGCTTAAAAAATCCAATTTGGAAAGAAGTATTTGATGTTTGAAATGATCTTCAAAATATACAAGATCAATCTCGAATTTACACATGCAATATATGAAAGAATGGTTAAAAAAGGATTTCTATCTATAGAAATCTTGGACCAAAAAGGGGTTTGGCTGATTGGTGACTTATTGAATGAATATAGAAATTTCGTAATTTTTGATAGATGTAAAGTTGAATTCAATATCAAACCTTATGTTGTTAATTATCTAGGTTTCATATATGCAATAAAAAGATATTGAAAAGAATAGAATATATGTCTCAAGAGAGAGAAAAGGGTCAAATTTTGCCTTTATTTTGCCTTTCATATCTTTATAACATCTATAATATGACAATGTAGGTCGGTTCAGAACAAAACTAACGATAAGAAAGATGATTTCACCTTCCCTATTGCGAACTTTTCATTTCTATGTAGCAACATTCCAACAGCGCCTGCATGTAGAGTATATATCTTCATGTGGAAACTATATTCCAGAGCTTGCATTGCATATCATTATTTCCTTAATAGATGGTTACTGCTTACAATGAAGCTATTTAACCAAAAATTCCAAGTGGTGAAATTAAAATCATCCTTTCAAAAATTTTACCAACGCCTTCAACAGTTAATTGACCGTTATGGAATATCTTTTTCACAAATGACGACTAATATGTTCCAATTCTCGTTACAACAATCTCGTTCTCTTTTAATCGAATGCTATAAAAGGCCCTGGCATGATAAATGTGAAACAATTCCAACGAGAAAACTAACGGCTTGATCTTTAACAAAACAATTAACGAAAAACAAATATGACAGATATGAACCAACGATAACCACTAAACTATGGGCTCCTGGTTTCATTATTTAGTTCTGCAATCGCGTAACTGATGGTTGTCTATTTAACAGTTTTACCAATTTTGCTGATGTATCATATTTTTCCTATAGTTATTGAAATATATTTTGATATCAGTTTCTGTGCAAATTAAAGATATTCATTATTAAATAAAAGAAATTTCGTTTCTTCAATGTTGTTTCAGTTTAATTCGTTTTTACCTTTATCTAATTTTTGTTCATTTATTTGTAGGATAAGCTAATCCAGTCAAAGTGAGAGGATATATATCAGTTGTTTTTCTCTGTTTATAAAATGAAGTAAACCAAAACTAAATTAATGAATATGGATACATTACAGCATCACAGTTATAATATCATAACAAGGCAGTACTCATAAATATCGTTATTGTTTGTTCTAAGAGGTTGTTATATTGAACCTTCCTTCCAAGTATATACATATAATATATATGCACGTCTAAATGTGTGACAACTTTATGAATGACATTCTCCATCTGATAACACGTGGTTATACAGGGCTAAATACACCATAATATATATATGATTCGTCTCTAATTTCGCCCAAAAATGTTAGATCTTCAAAATTGCGTTAGCAAATTTTTGTTCTTCCCTCAGCGGGATTCCAACCATATATCATATATATAAAGTGCCTAGAAAATCAACCTAACAATGTTAGAGTAGATCTGATTCTGTACGTCCTCCCCAACAGGAGCTGGAACCTGCACTTTTCACTTTTCATTTCTACGTCAACACCGTCTAGCGTTGCGCAGACGCCTTATCTCCTCCTCTATCTATAGTTGATAAAAATTAGCTTTCGTTTCGGGAGGTGTTACCTTCTCATAGGTTTTAAACAAGGACGACTAATCACAAAACACGAAGTGTACATCTACTCATCTCTTAAGTATAAATGCAGGATGCTATTCTATTTTTAGAAGCATACCATCACTATGAGTTTGAATTATATATATATCGTCTTTCACATAAACCTTAATGAAATCTGAGACCAAATTGGATCGATTAAAACTGATGAGGATACAGTAGCAAACACTAACAAATGTTATCGAAAAGGTCCA